TATAAAAGGTATAAATTAGTTTCATAATAGGGGTGTGTACATTGGATACTTTCTCCTCCATTCTTGTGATGCTTTGCTCAGAAGAACATTCTCCAGCTAAAAAATATGGAACGCTTCACAAATTTGCGTGTCATCCTTGCACAGGGGCCATGCTAATCTCTGTATCATTCCAATTTTAGTATATGTGCTGCCGAAGCGAGCACCATCATTTCATTTGATAACACATGATACTTTAACATAAATGCCTTGTAGCTAACTTTTATTATCAGTAACTAGGTGGACACTGTGGAAAATATAATATAGTCCTTTCCCTAATTTCCTAAGGAAGTAAAATACTTATGTAAAAAAAGACACCTTAAAAATTAATTAAACGGTTCATTAAAACCATGAATGATGTGGTCAGTATATGTTACAGGACTGGTTAGGTGATAGACATCGCCAGGCCAGATGCATGTTTCTACAGTGCACCTGGGCTGTGACGATAAGAAGAAGCCTGATTGCTCTGTCCTATGGATAGCAGGTAGCCTATTGAAGACTGAGAACAGAAATTTAGAGGTAGAAGGAATTAACTCACTCTTGACCCTGAGTGAGTCACTAATGTTGTATTTCCTCACCATAATTATAGAAAGGATTTGTCTGGAGTGGGTGCAGAAGAAAAATAAGGCTGAATGTGTAAGGCCTTTAGAGTCTTACATTTCAGGCATAAAATTCACTAGTTTGCAGTTCAGTTGTCTGAAACATTGTTCTTTGACTTACTGTGAAAAACTTGGAGATAGGAGAATGTGGCAGATCTTTTATTAATGTTTATTTTTTAATATGAAAAATATCAAACATACATAAACAAAAACCCTGCCCAGACTACCGCATTCGTTGCCAGAATCTTTTTCAGTGTAGGAGGCAAAAAACTCAGAGGGGACATTCTTTTTTAGTGATTAAAACATAGTTTCTATTTGCCCTGTATTTTCTGTCAACCATATCGTCACTAGTTATAGCTTGTCAGATGATAATGTTTATACATTTTGGCTCAATTTAATAAGGAAAGCAGAAGGTATTTTATAGGGCCAAAATGAATGAACGTTCATTAGATTTGCTGCTTCTTGCCTGTGAGCAAAGTAACTTGGAGAAATCCCAAAACAGAACGACCACGTCAAACAGGATCTGCCAGTGAAGGCAGCAGGACATGTGGGGCTCCCTCCTCACCGCTAGGGCCTGGGCCTCTTTTCTTCCTTAGCCAGCTTGGCCCAGCTGAAGAGGCACAGCTGCTTCCCAGGAGATGGGGATGGAGATGTCTGTGTTTAAGTTATTAAAAATGAAGAACTGGTTAAGTTATGTTTGTTTCATGAAGTTATTGAAAAGAAATGGCTCAAGAGACCTATATTACAATTTTTTTTTTTTTAAAACAAAATCTTACTCTGTTGCCCTGTGTAGAGTACCATGATGGCATCATAGCTCACAGCGACCTCAAACTCTGGAGTGATCCTCTTGCCTCAGCTGCCCGAGTAGCTGGGACTATAAGGGTCCACTGCAATGCCTGGCTAGTTTTGTTTGGAGAGAGAGTCCCACTATGTTGCCCTCAGTAAAGTGCTGTGGCATCACTGCTCACAGCAACCTCAAACTCTTGGGCTTAAGCGATTGCCTCAGCGTCCCTAGTAGCTGGGACCACAGGCACCCTCCACAACACCCAGCTTTTTTTTGTTGCAATTGTCATTGTTGTTTAGCTGGCCCAGGCTGGGTTTGAAGCCGTCAGCCTCGGTATATGTGTCTGGCACCAAAACCATTCTGCCACGGGCGCCGAACCATGCCTGGCTAGTTATTTGTATTTCTAGTAGAGAAGAGGTTTCACTCTTGCTCAGCTGATCTCTAACTCCTGAGCTTAAGCAGTCCACCAGCCTTGGCCTCTCAGAGTGCTAGGATTATAGGCATGAGTCATTGCATCTGGCCTGTATTACAATTTTTAAAAAATGATTACTGAGCATCTAAAGTATAATTTTGTTGGAAATACATCTGTTAGTGAGATGATTAGTGGAGGAGAGGTGTGACTTTTTGAGGTGTGGCTATTAAAAGAATTGTTCCTTTGGCCCCAGAGGACTTTCCAGCCTAGGATAATGAGTGATAGCAAGATTCAGATTGGTGGGGGGATGCCTTTCTTCTATATAGAATTGTGAAGGGAAAGATCAGAAAATGGATCCTTAACCTTAAGGTACCTTTTCAGGCAGACCAGTTTCAGAAACCTTTTCAGGCAGACCAGTATACATGGAGGTTGAAGATCTAGATCAAAATTAATTACTTAAAAAAAAAACAAGCTGAGTCTTGGCAGATGTTACAGTATCTAGGAGAATGTAGCAGGCATTGAGTAAATATTTTTGAATAAATTAATGATGAATAAGTCTGTTTTGAAAGAGCTATAAGCAATATTGAGTACAAATGCCTTATCAAAGGAATGGTGACACCTGTTTTATTCAATGTAGCAGTATGTAGCTTGTTGAAATAACCCAGATTATCTGTTTTCTCCATAGAAATAGGAAATAAAGGGTGAGCTAATTTTTTTTTTAAGAAAACAGCTTTATTGAGATATAATTTGCATACTGGTCAATTGACCCAGTATACAGTGCAATGATTTTTAGTACAAATGGTCCTCAACTTAGTGATGGAGTTGTGCCCTCATCAACCCATATTAAGTTGAAAAGATCGTAAGTTGAAAATGATATTTGATATGCCTTCCCTACTGAACGTCTTAGCTTAGCCTAGCCTACCTTAAATGTGCCTATAGTTACCTTGCTTACATTAGCTTATTAATTGGGCAGAATCACCTGGTAACACAGGTTACTGTGTTGGTTACCAGTAAACCAATACTGGTAGAGTATTGGTTTACCGAGGATCATGAGAGAGTATTGTACTGCATATTACTAGCTGGGGAAAAGATCAAAATTCAGATTTGAAGTATAATTTCTGCTGAATGCATATCCCTTTCACATCATTGTAAAGTTGAAAAGTTGTTAAGTCAGGAACTCTCTGGATACGTGTAGGTATGTGCAGCCATCCCCACAATCAGTATTAGAACGTTTGCATCACCCTCTAAAAGATTTCTGTAGCTATTTTCATTTGCTGTCTGTTTTCCCTCAAACTCTCAGCCTGTAATAACTATTAATCTACTTTATATATTCTATACAGTGTATAAATGGAGTTATTCAACACGTGGTCTTTTGTGACTGGCTTCTTTAGCTTAGCACAATGTCTTTGAGCTTCGTATATGTTGTAACAAATATTAGTACTTCATTCCTTTTTATTGCCAAATAATGTTCATTCATACGGCTGTACTATGTAATTTTGTTTACATTTTGTGTCCCTAGTCATCAGTTGATGGACAGTTGGGTTGTTTCCCCTTTTAGGTTTTTCCAAATAATTCTGCTATGGACATTTGCACAAGTTTTTTTTTTTTTTTTTAAACTGATTAACATTGCTTTCATGGTATTTTCTTAGTTATTGTGTTAAGACATGTATATTCTACATTGAGTAAGTTTCACATGTACCCTTATAAGATGCACCGCAGATGTGGTCCCACCCATCACCCTCCTTCCACCCCCCTCCCCCTCCCTCATTTGCACAAGTTTGGTGTGGTCGTATGTTTTTATTTTTTGAGTATAGTGTAGGGAGTGGGATTGTTTGGTCATATAGTAACCCTGTGCACAATGTTTTGAAGGACTGCTGTTTTCTAAAATGACGGTACTATTTCATATTCTCACCAGCCAAGATACGAAGATTCCAATTGCTCCCTTTCCTCCCCAGTACTTACTGTCTGCCTCCTTTATTGTAGCTGTTCTACTGGGTGTCAGGTGATACCTTGTTGTGATTTTGATTTGAGTTTCTCTGATGGCTAATGATACTGAATATTAGTTGATGTGTTTATTGACTATTTGGGTATCTTCTGTGTTTCCCTGAAAATAAGACACTGTCCTATATTTATCTTTTTCTCAAGAAGACATACTAGGGCTTATTTTCAGGGGATGTCTTCCTCTCTGCGTGGAAATGCATGGCATGGCTATGCAGCATATCTGACCTATCAATAGGTCTTATTATCAGGGTAGGGCTTATATTTAACAAATGTATAGAAATCCTGCTAGGGCTTATCTTTTGGGTAGGTCTTATTTTCAGGGAAACATAGTTCTTTGGAGGAGAGTCTGTTCAAACTCTTTGCAGCCTATATAATTTTATGCCTTTTTTGTTCAAGAAGAAACTTTGGGAGAATATCAAGTTATGACCTGTCCATTCCTCTGTTTTTCATTGCAGAAGTAGCTATTTTATGACACCCATAGACATCCCTCCCACGTTTCATTAGGAGACGACTCAGATGCCACCTTTGCAGAGGCATTTCTTGATCATCCTGTCTGGGGAGACATTCTTCATTTGTCTTGTCTCTACTTTTTACCCTGGTTTTATTTTTCCACAGTGTACTTATCCCTCTCTGATGTTGTAATTAAGTTTTATTGGCTTACGTTCTCCTCCTGTGAAATGTAAGTTCATTGAGGATGGAAACCCTGTTTTGTTCACGGGGCATATTAGTAGGGCCTCAGTAAATGCTGATGGAATGAGTGATTGAATAAATGAATACTTGGAAAGACTAGGCTCTGGAGTCTCCATCACTGTTCCTGGGATCTTGGGCAAGTTATTTAACTTTTCTTAGGTTTAATGCCTTCATCCATAAAACTACTATAGTAAGAGTACCTATGTCATTAGGTTTCTGCGAGAATTAAATTAATTGACATATGTAAAGTACTAAATACCATTCTAGTATTCTAAAGAAAAAAGGCTAGATTTAGTTTGTCTTTTTTATTCCTTTTAGTATAGGGTACTGATGGTGTGTTTGTACAGAATATATGTTTAACTTTTAAAAGATTCAAGTGAACAAGAATTCTCTCTTTCTTTTTTCCCAGGGGATGCAGAGAGCAACTAATGTTACCTATCAAGCCCACCATGTCAGCCGGAACAAGAGAGGGCAGGTGGTGGGGACCAGAGGTGGCTTTCGTGGTTGCACAGTTTGGCTAACAGGTATGGTCAAGAGAGATAAACTGGTATTTTTTTAAAAACAGTGCTTGTAGACAGTCTTCACCTTAGGAGTAAGCATATATAAGTTCTGTGCTGTTGTATACTGGAGCATTATGACCCGTAACGGACATAGTTGCTTAATAACCATACTCTTCCTTTTGGCAGTTCCTTTTGTTCTTTTACAGGATTGCACCATAGGAAGAGAATGAGTGATAAAGATTTTCACGTAATTTTCTATCATTCAGTTTTTTGCTTTGGCTTCTGATTTTTTTTTTGCTTTTGTTTTTCCACTTTCTCTTCGGGTTTAGTTATAGCAGGCTGGTGAGAGGGTGAATTGATTCAGATTGTGGAATAGTTTTGGGAACGATGGATTATTACTTTTAGGAATTATATTTAAAATTTTGCTCTATTTTGCTAAATTGCCCACTAAAATTTCATACCAATTTGCTCTCCTACCGGTAGTGTGGGAGAAGGTCCATTTCCTAGTGTCCTTGTCAACACTGCATATTATCCATCATTAAAAATTTGTGCTGATTTGCAAAAACCCCAATATTCCTTTTTTTGGTTTGTTTTTATTTTTTTCTTTTTTAGAGACAGAGTCTCATTCCATTGCCCTTGGTAGAGTGCCATAGCATCACAGCTCACAGCAACCTCCGATTCTCTTGCCTCAGCCTCCCGAGTAGATGGGACTATAGGCGCCCGCCACAACGTCTGGCTTTTTTTTGTTGTTGCAATTTGGTCCGGGCCGGGTACGAACCCGCCACCCTTGGTATATGGGGCCTGTCCCCTACTCACTGAGCAACAGGCACCTCCCTATTCTTGTTTTTTTTTTAAGAGACAGGGTCTAACTCTGTAGGCTAGGCTGGAAAGCAGTGGTGTGATGATGGTTCACTGGAGGCTTGAATAACTGGGCTCAAGTGATCCTCCCACCTTAGCTTCCAGAGTAGCTGGGACTTACAGGTGTGTAAAGCCACACCTGGTTAATTTTTTAAAAATTTTTTTTTGTAGAAATGAGGGGGTCTTGGTCTGTTACCCAGGCTGGTCTTGAATTCCTGGCCTCACTCAAGTGGTCCTTCTTTCTCTGCCTCCCAACACGTAAAGATTACAGTTTCTTTAAAATTATGTGTTTTAATTTTAGACAGATCTGTTTATTTTTATATGAAAACAGGCAACACTCTCACATTCTTCCCATCTCCTCATTCTTAATTCTAGATTGTTGTTCACTTGTTACATCTGTATTGTCCAGGTTTGTATGTGTAGATTCTGCTTTAACATCTTAAATTTCTAAATTGTTTGTATTTTAGCTCTGTAAGTACATTGGTTTGGTACTCGCCCGCTCACCATCAGTTGTTTTATTATGGCTTGTCCACTCAAGCCTTAATGGTATTTCAATAAGTAGTCTTTGCACAGTGGCCTTCTGTGGGTTCTGAATTCCCTGCCTTTCATGTTTGAGAATGGCATGTTTGAGTTGCCATTTTTTATAGCAACTTGGCTGGGTAAAATATATATTTGCTTCATGATATTTTTGTCTTGGAATTTTAATAACAGTGCTCTATTGTCTCCTGGCATTAACTGTTCTGAGGAATTGTGAGGCTAATCAGATTTTTTCCTTTTCTTTTAGAAGCTTTTATTTTTTCATCTGGATGCCGAAAGAATTATTTCTTCTCCGGTATTTTCTTTTAGAAGTTTTGTCTTTTCATGTAGACCCTCACCTGTACTTGATTTTTGTGAAGAAGGGATCCATTTCCTTTTTTCCCCCTTATGCATAGTAACTTGTCCCAAGAACATAGATTAATAGGGTATCTTTTTTGCTCTGATCTGCAGGGCCAGCTATGTCACATATTGGGTCTCTATGTGTGGATCTATTATCCGGGTCCTCTAATCTCTTCCATTGGTTTACTTGTCTGTTTTTCTGTTAATGCCACACTGTCTTTATTTTTAAATTTTTGTCAGTCTTTAAAGCCATTGAAATAAGCCCTCTTAAACTTTGTTCTTCATTGGGAGTTTTAACCTTTTTCTTTTTTATGACTTTTTTTTTTGGCTCTTTGTGTTATTGCAGAAATTTTATAATTTATGTAACCAATTTCCCAGAACCTTGTTGGGATTTAGTTTGGTATTGGATTATATCTGAGGTTAGTTTTGGGGAAAATTGATTTTTAGAATATTGGGTACTCTTTTTCTGTTTTTTTTAGAGACAGAGTCTCACTTTATTTCCCTCAGTAGAGTACTGTGGCGTCACAGCTCACAGCAACCTCCAGCTCTTGGGGTTAGGCAACTTTCTTGCCTCAGCCTCCTAAGTAGCTGGGACTACACGTGCTGGCCACAAGGCCTGGCTGGGTTTTTTTTTTTTTTGTTGTTGTTGTTGTAGTTTGGCCGGGCCGGGTTTTGAACCCACCACCCTTGGTATATGGGGCCGGCGCCCTACCCACTGAGCCATAGGCACCGCCTGGTACTCTTTTTCTTAAACATGGTATATTCCATTTATTTCACCACCAGTGAAGCTTATAAATAATTACTTATCTGATTTTTTGGCACTTAATGGTCTAGTATGTAATGAGTTTCCAGTCACCACGTTCCCCACCCTGCCCCTTAACTGGGACAGTTTAGCCAGCTGGGGTTGGGCATTTCCCTTCCCTTAGATCAGTTAGTTACTGATAAAACCCAATAGGCTAAGCTCTGGTTAAACATTTCTCTGGAGGTCAGGCCTTGTTAAGAAGATCAGAATGCTCTGCTATAGTTCTAAATGCTTCCTTCCTCCCCCCAACCCCCAAGCTGAAAGCAGGAAGGGATTTTTCCACTTATATTTACTGTGAGAACCTGATTGAATTCCTGGGGCTCAGGCTCATAATACTGTGGGGAACTGCCTTTGACTGGGTCCCCTTGGAATTTTTAACTCTCCAACTTGCAGGCACTGAGCCTCCATCAATTTTTCAATTACAGTTGAGGTTTTCCTACCCCAGCATGTTTTCCTCAGGGGTTTTCTGGTTTTTCTGCTCTGATACGCTGTCACTCCCTGTTTGCCTGTCTCCCCACTCTTGGGGCCGTGATTTGCCTTGTGTCCTCCCCTGTCTTACAGATTGAATAAAAGTTGTTGCTTTTTCCATGTGTTTAGCCTTTTACTTGTTAGGACATAGTGGACATAGTAGTGACTTTCAAGCTGCTCACATGTAGACCTAGAAAACCTGCAATCAGTTTTCATAAATATTTATTTGAAAAAGAGTATGTATTCCCCAATATGTGCAGTATTTTATTGATGGTCGTTAGATGAAGCTTGTTAATTGTGTTGTCAAATCTTCTAGAGCCTTCATTGTTTTCTTTCCTTGTTGTTTTTGGAAATGGAAGCCAAGATTTCTCTCTTTTTCTTGTAATTCAGTTGCTTAAACAGGATCTGTCCAAGGTGGGAGTGATTTGTGTATCATTTTCCTGGATGTGGCTTACTTTTTTCAGATTTTATGCCAGCTAAATTTTCCTGTTTTGTATTTACACATTTGCTGGTTGATTATTTTTCCAGGGCTGCTGTAACAAGTTAACCACACCCTGGGTGGCCTCAAAGAACAGAACTTTATTCTCAGTTCTGGAGGCAACAAGTCCAAAACGTTTTATGTTTTTCTTTTTTGGCCTCCTGAGGTCGGCGCTTCAGTAGGCCCATAGGGAGAATGTGTTTCGTTCCTTTCTGCTGCCTTCTTGGTGTCCTTGGTTTGTAGACTCCACTCCAATCTCTGCCCTTGTCTTCCCGTGGCTTTCTTAGAAGGACACCAGTCATTGGATTTAGGGCCCACCCCAACCCACTCTTACCTCCTCTTATTTTAACTTTGATTATATCTACAAAGACTCAATTTCCAGATAAGATCACATTCTGAGGTTCTAGGTGAACATGATTATTTGGGGGACACTGTTCAGCCCAGGGCAGTTGGTTTCTCTTCTTCAGGCATCCCAGTTATCCTTATCTGAGTTTTGGATCATCTGTCTTGTGCTGTCTATTAATTTACACTGACTGCTTCAGTTTCTTTGCCTTTTTTGTCTACGTTCACTGTTACCTTCTCAGTGACATTGTTAATGTCAGTCATTCAGTTTTCAAGTTAAATAGAGACATAAAAGTATATAAGCACATTTATATATATAATGTGCTTATATAACATACATATTATATATGTATATATATAAAAGTATATAAGCACATATGTATATAATGTTATTTCTTTCAAGTTAAATAGATACATAAAAGTATATAAGCACACACATACATATAATATATTGTTATTTAAGTTGTTTTGTTGCCCAGAAAGTTTATATTTTCAAGTTTCAGTTATTTCTCTTTGATACATGGTGCTCACTTGGTAGTTAAAAAAAAAATGACAGTAAAAAACCAAAATAACCCCCTATTCTTCAGCCACGATCTCTTTGTTTCAGTTACTGCGTTACAAATTACCCCAAACCTAGTAGTGTACAATAGCAATCATCAACCATTTTAATTTGCTTACCAATGAGGTAAGGGATTTAGGAGCTCTCAGTTGGGCTTTTTATTTAAACGTTTTTTTTTTTTTTTTTAATAAGATCTCCCTCCCTTGCCCAGCCTGGTGTGCAGTAGAATGATCATAGCTCACTGCACCCTTGCACTCTTGGTCTCAGCCATCCTCTCACCTCAGTAGCTGGGACTACAGGCCTGAACTATTGTGCCTGGCTTCAGCTGGCCAGTTTTTGTGTAGGTCTTGCTTGGTCATAGTCAATGCTGACTTGGATTGCAGTCCCTTGAAGGCTCAGCTTGGCTGGGTGTCCAAGGTGACTTATTCTGTTGATGCTGCTTGTCCATTGGTAGTTCAGTTGACTGAGACTGTTAGCTGTTAATACCTGCTTGTGATCACCATAGCCTGGTGGTCTTAGGAAATTTAGTAGCTGACTTCTCTCAAATGAAGTGACCAGAGAGGCACACATCATCATTTTACTACATTCCTTGGCTGCATATGAGTTCTAAGACCAGCCCAGATCCAAGGGAGGGAAATTAGACTACCCCTGGACGTGACAGTAGCTGGGTCACATTTTAGAAGAGCCCCTACGAGGGGATACTCA